GGCAATAGATGTTAGCTCAGAGCCGGTCTTCCTCAACAAAAAGAGGAGGATTAGCACGGATGTTAGCTCAGGGCTGATCTTCCTCACAAAAAAAAATAATAATAAGTTCAGATATCAGGTCCTTTCCCTTCACTGACATGGTGCACCTTTGTCAGACCTAAAGGGTTAGCTCTGTCTGCCTCTCTTTAGTTAAAAGCTCCAAAAGTAACAAATCAAACCATCAAAAGGAGCAACTGCAGAGTTGACTACGAAAATGCATTAGCTGGATGCCATCTACTTTGCATTTCTTCAATCCAACATTTAATCAGGTCAAACAAAGAAGAGAGGCTGTGTAGAGCCTCCCTTTATGTGCTGAAGATTACCGGCTCTGAGGCCAGATTGCAGGGTTCCTTCTGTTCCTCAGTTGCATCCTCCGCAAAATGGGCACACTCAAATATTTAACTCTTATTTACGTTGTCACCAGGATTAAACGAGAGAAAACATGCAAAATGGATTTATTTGTTTCCTTATTTACCATCTCCTTCCCCCCTCCCCTCAACCAAACTCAAAGCTCGAGTTTGGTCTAATTTGCTGCTATATTCCCAAGGCCAAGAATGGTGCTTTTACTTAATAGACGATTTAATAAATATTAAATGAATAAAATGCAAAATGCCATCTGCTCAAAAAATGTTGGCTATTATTACTATTGTAACGAGACACAATTAAAATTTTACTGTTGTTATTAAGAGACCCCCACCCCTCCCCCAAGGATCTCACTATTCTAAGAGAAATACTAGATAAAAGCTGGAATGGAGAAATGGAGGTAAGAAAAACAATTGGATCATAAAGCAGGACTAACCGAAGACAAAATAAAATCTCAAATACACAGCCAGAGCCCAATTTCGGGCTTCTCCGAGTGAGGTTCACCCTGGATGAGTTGTATTAGCGATTACAACAATGACAGTTTTCCCGCTTGTGTGTGCCCGAGTCTGTGCCAAGCATTCTGCCGGGCTCACAAAACCCAAGAATCCGGGTTACAGGGGGGGGGGGGGGGGTTCTTCACACCTCCATTTTGCAGATGGGGGAACTGAGGCTTGGAGAGACCCAAGGTCACAGCCCGTAAGTGGGGGAGCCGGGATGTGAACCCAGGCGGTCCGACCCCGGAGCCTGCACTCAACAGGCCCTCAGAGGGGCCATCCTCGCCTCCTCCACCACGGCCACACGCCCCTCGAAACTGGGCGTGGGTAACATTTCCCCAGGACCCGCACTTCGTGGCCCCAGCGCCGGGAAAACAAAACAATCCTTGCCCGCAGGCGAGTCCGCCGGTCGCCGGCCGGGCCTGGGCTCCGAGGCCGCGGTCCCCACAGTTTCGCTCACACCGTGAGCCCCGAGCCCTCCGGACGGCGCAGGAAGCGCCCGGGCGGCCTCGGGAGCCCGGGAAGGCCCGGCCCGCCGCGTGACCTTGGATCCGCGCCCCGCTTCGGGCCTCAGTTTCCCCACCCGAGCCTCGCGCCGGGGGCCTCTCGGGAGCTCGCGCCTGCGGAGCTGCAGGCCCCTCACACGCCCCCCTCACCGCCCGCCTTCCCGCCCCGCTTACGCTGGAAGGCGGCCGCTCCAGGGACGCCCACCATCGCCGAGAACCGCTGCCGCGCGTCTCCTGCTTCCACCCGCGGTCCGGGTCCCTAGCAGGCACCGCCGCGGGACCGGCAGCCCCAAAGCTCGCCAACCCCAGCACCGCCGTCGCTGCCGCCGCCACCGCCGCCGTTAGGCCGCGCGCCACCCCGCCCCCCGGTTAGCTCCGCCCCGCCCTTCGGCACGCCCCCGCCGCGCGCTCTCGCCCGCCAGACCAACGCACGCGGAAGCCCGGCCCAAAGACCAGCTCCCGCTAAACCCCGCCCCCTGACCTGCCCCGCCCCTTCCGCGCGAATCTACCGCCCTATCCCGGCGCGTCCTGCCTCTCAGACCCGCCCCTCCTGCGTCACGCGCCCCCGTCACGCTCACGGCCCACTCTTCTGGCAGAGGTCTGTCCGCTGAGGCCTGGGCAGCGGCCGGGGCCCAAGAGCGGGGGCGGAGGCCTAGGGGGCGGAGCTTAGGGGGAGGGGTGGACTCCTCACCTGAGTTCTCCAGGTTCAGGGCTGATGCCCTTTGCTCATGTCATTGGGTGAGACACGTCCCTTTTTTTGGCCGACCGTGTTCCAAAAGTCTAAAATATCACCATCATATTAATAACTGTTAGCTATCATTATTATTATTGAGCTCTTTATCGTGTTCAGGTGCTATTTTTATACACTCCATCAAGTTAATGCTCGCAAGGAGGGAGAGAGGTATTATTATGTTCCCTTTTCTACATGTGCGGAAAGGGCTTTCCCACCAACCAGCTTGCCCACTGATTACTGTTAGCAAGAAGCAGAGCTAGGATTGGAACCTAGGAACTTCTGACTTTAGACCTCGTATTTGAGCTACTCTGAACTATTCTGTCTCCCAAAGACTCAAAAACACAGATTAAAATTTTAAAAAGAGATTAAAAATTCCAAACTCTTCTATGTACAAAGACACCACAAACAAAGTTCTTTTAGCTTTGCTTGTCTTTTACAAACACAAGACTGGGATAAAATATTTGCAATATATTCAACAAAGAATATTCGGAATAAATAACCACTACAAACCAATAAGAAAAAAAAGGATAATTGAATAGAAAGATGGACAGAGAATGAATAGACAATACACAGAAAAGAAAATCTGAATGGCTAATAAACGTTAAAATAAAAGATGCTCAACCTCTCTAATAATCAAGAAATTGCCAAACAATGAGTTGCCATATTCCATGCATTAGATTGGAAATTTCCACCTGTGGGTCTCTTTCCCAAAGAAACAGTTGCTCATGTGCACAAAAAGGTGCATAGGAAGGAAGTTTATGTTATAATTATTTATAAGAACAAAAATCGGGATTGGCTTGAATGCCTTTGGTGGAGAACAAGTGAAATAAAGTGTAGAGAATAATATGCAACATTTAACAAGTAGGTATCTACTTGTGGTGATAAGAAAGGTTGCCAAGATATATTGTTAACTTAAAAAGCAAATTGGAGTTCCATGCAGTTATTCTTTTGCTTTACTTCCAAGTTTTGGATAATTGAATAATTTTTCTTAACACCTACATACTATGTACGCTCTATTTTTTTGTGTGTGTGTGTGAGGAAGATCAGCCCTGAGCTAACATCCATGCTAATCCTCCTCTTTTTGCTGAGGAAGACCGGCTCTGAGCTAACATCTATTGCCAATCTTCCTCCTTTTTTTTCCCCCAAAGCCCCAGTAGATAGTTGTATGTCATAGTTGCACATCCTTCTAGTTGCTGTATGTGGGACGCGGCCTCAGCATGGCCGGAGAAGCGGTGCGTCGGTGCGCACCGGGGATCCAAACCCGGGCCGCCAGCAGCGGAGCGCCCTCACTTAACCACTAAGCCACCGGGCCGGCCCCTATGTACGCTCTAAAATTGTGCCACATCTAAGAACCTGCATGCCAGAGCCAGAGAAGCTGGATATAAATTTTGGCTCCACACTGACCAGCTGTTTAGCCTTGGACAAGTCACTTCACCTTTCTGAGACTCCGGGAGTGGCTCATGACAGTACCTAGCACATGAGATGCTTGCGTAAAATGCACAGTGCCTGGTACACTTTTTAAAATGTTACAATTATGATTATATACACTTTTTTTAAATTTCTATTCCCACCCACTACTCCCCTACCTAGTAGGTGCTCAAAAAAAATTTTTTTTTAAGTAAGATTGGCCCTGAGCTAACATCTGTTGCCAATCTTCCTCCTTTTTTTCTCCCCAAAGCCCCAGTAGATAGTTGTATGTCATGGTTGTACATCTGTCTAGTTGCTCCATGTGGGACGCTGCCTGAGCATGGCTTGATGAACGGTGCGTATGTCTGCACCCAGGATCAGAACCGGCGAAGCCTGGGCCACTGAAGGGGAGCACACGAACTTAACCACTACGTCACTGGGTCGGCCCCTAAAAAACTTCTTGTTGTTGACTCCCATTACCATTTGAACCCTAGTATATACTGCCCCGCCTTCTCTCAGCACTTGGCTAACTGGAGTATAATGACTGCACAACATGATGCAGATATTTAAGAAAAGCTTTCTGGGCCGGCCAGTGGCATAGTGGCTAAGTTCGCACTTTCTGCTTTGGCAGTCCCTGGTTTGCCAGTTTGGATCCTGGGCCGGCACCCCTAACTCAGTGGTTCTTAAAGCAGGCTACTGTCAAAATCATTTGAAGCAAGAAACTGATTTAGAAACATGTACTCACAGGTCCTGCTGATCAGGAAGGTCTGAGGCCTGGAGCTACAAAGGATGCCCTCCGGAGGATGAGGAAAAGGAAAATGCCTTCCTTGTTTTGCTGAATTCTCATTCATCCTGCCTTGCCAAGTCAAAACTGACATCTCTCTGGCTGCATCTCCATCACTCTCATGCTGGCCAGACAAGCTTCTAGAGCCCCAGTGTACACCAGGGCTCTGAGCCTCACCTCTGGGAACCATGTTCCTCCTAACAAACAACCAATCCCACTTCACTCCTACACACCCTTCACATATCAGCTCATCTGGTACTTCCTCAGAGAAGTCCTCTCTAACCCTCCAGACCTGTCAGAACTCCTAATGTCCACTCCTATAACACCATGCACCTCTTCTTCATGGCACATAACCCATTTATCATTTTGCATTCATTTTCTCCATTCTTAGATCACTATCTACTTTTCTCTATAGACCACAAGCTCCATAAAAACTTTCTCTTTATTGTTCACCATTTGTATCTCCAGTGACTAGGACAGAGGTGGTACTCCATAAATATCTGTTATATAAATAAGGGAAGTGTTAAAGTGGAAGTATGCACAGGGGGCTGCGGAAGCGCAAATAGGAACCTTTCTAGTCCCCCCTTATCCTCCTTCCCCAACCCGTGCCCTTGGGAGTCATAGAAGTATCATCAAGAAAGGAGAGAATTAATGCATTCATCAAACAAATATTTATCAAGCACCTATCTTGTGCCAAGCTTTGTGCCAGGATACAATGGTCAATAAGAAAATGTTGCTACCTGCATGCAATTTAGTCTATGGAAGTAGATAAATAAGTGAAAGTATAATTTAATGTCAAAAACAAAAACAGAGTAAGGGAAAGAGAGATGGTACAAGAGGTCTGGAGATTGTATATTGTGCAATGTACATTGTCCCCAAAGTACAATGGGGCTTGTCATTATAAAATGGGTAGGCAGGAAGGCCTCTCTGAGGAGATGATATGTGAGCCGAGACCATAAAGAAGTGAGAGATCAGGCCATGGGGATATCTAGGGGGATTGTGTTCTAGGCAGAGGGAACAGCAAGTGTAAAGGCCCTGAAGAGGAAATAAACTTTCTGGGCATAAGGCACAAGGAACACAGTGTGACTGGAGCTGTATGGATGAGAGGAAGAATGGCAGCAAATGAGGCCATGTGGGGAGGCAGAACCAGATACTGCGGGGCTTTGGTGCCCAAGGAAAAGTATGTGAACTTCATTATAAGACCAACAGGAGATTTTGCAGGGTTTGGAGCAGGGGCGTGGTCTGATATGACTACATTTTGAAAATATGCCTCTACTTACTGTGGGGAGAATGGATTATAGGGTTAGGAGGCTGTTACCGGTAGGAAATAAGTAGACCAACATGTCCAGTGGAGGAGTGAGAAGAGGTCAGATTCAGAGTATATTTCGAAGGTAGAGCCAACAGGTTTACCAGAGGATTGGATATGGGGAATGAGAGAAAGGAAATAGCCATTTATCATAATGGTTTCAAAAGTCCCTTCCCATCCAGACTGCCCCACTGCCTTCCTTTTTTTGAAGTAACAACATCTCAAAAATGCACAGCACTTCATAGCATATACACAGGCCATTTCAAGGTGCCTCTTCATAAGTATTGCTTATTTTTATATTTTGTTACAAAAAATGCTTTTTTCAAACTTTCTAAGATTGAAGTAAGAACAAGGAATATTACTGGAAACAAACAGGGACATTACATAAAAATTAAAGGGTCGGGGCCAGCCCGGTGGCGTAGTGGTTAGGTTCGCTTGCTCTGCTTTGGCGGCCCGGAGTTCACAGGTTCAGATCCTGGGCATGGACATATGCACGGCTTATCAAGCCATGCTGTGGCAGGCGTCCCACATATAAAGAGGAGGAAGATGGGCACAGATGTTAGCTCAGGACTAATCTTTCTCAGTAAAAAAAAAGGGTCAGTTCACCAAGAACACGTAACAAACCTAAATATGTATGCACCCTAACAACAGACCTTCAAAATACATGAAGAAAAACAGATAAAACTGAAAGGAAAAATAGACAAATCCACAATTATACTTGAAGATTTCAAAACTCCTCTCTCAGTAATTAGTAGAACAAGTAGAATATCAGCAATTATAAGCACCCATATAAAACAAAACTATTCTACTCTGCAGATAGTATAATGTAGACATCCTCATCTCTGGAATCTGTAAATATGTTACCTTACATGGCAAAAGGGTCTTTCTAGATGTAATTGAGTTAAGGACCTTCAAATGGGCAAATTATCCTGGATTATTCAGGTAGGCCCAATATAATCACAAGAGCCTTTAAAAGAGTCAGAGAAGGAGATGTGATGATGGAAGCAGATATCAGAGAGAAAGAGAAAAAGAGAGAGAGTTGAGGATGTTATGCTTCTGGTTTTGACAATGGAATAAAGGACCTGGAACCAAGGAATGCAAGTGGTCTCTAGA